ACAATCTCCACCAAAAGACTCCTAGAATGAATAACCATATTCAGTAGTGTAGCATGTTACAAAGTCAACACTCAAAAATTAATAGCATTCCTGTACACTAATAACAAACTCCCTGAGAGAGAAATTAGGGAAACACCTTTCACAATAACATCAAGGAAAATGAAATACTGAAGAATTAGCCTAGCCGAGAAAGTGAAAGATCTCTACAATGAAAACTATAGCATTCTGGAAAAGGAGATCAAAGAGGACATCGGAAAGTGGAAAGACATCCCCTGTTCCTGGGCAGGCAGAACCAATATAGTGAAAATGGCTATACTTCCAAAACTGTTTTACAGATTTAGTGCAATTCCAATCAACATACCAATAGCATTTCTTATAGAACTAGAGAAAGCAATCCTAAAATTCAAATGAAACTAGACAAGATCTAGAACAGCAAAAGCAATTCTGGGCTACAAGGGCAAGGCAGGGGCCATCACAATCCTGGACTTCAAGTTATACTAGAAAGCTATACTGATAAAAATAGCATGGAATTTGCAAACAAAACAAAACAGACTTGTGAGTGGATGGAATGGAATAGAAGTTCCAGAAACAATTCCTGGCACACTCAGTTACATTATTTTTACAAAGGGGCCAATGGTGCTGGGAAAATTGGTTATTCACATGCCAAAGACAGAACCTAGACCCATTATCTCTCACCCTGAACTAAAATCAAAATGGATCAAAGATCTAAATAGTAGAACACAAACAATTTGCTAGAAGACAAAAAATAGGTAAAACACTTTAAGACATAAATGTAGGCAAAGACTTTCTTAACAGAACACTGGTTGCATAAGAAATAATACCAAAAATCAAAAACTGGGATCTCATCAAATTAAAAAGTTTCTGTACAGCAAGGCAATAGTGAAGAGATAACCTACAGAATGGGAAAAAAAACTTTTGTCAGCTACTACTCAGACAAAAGACTAATATCTAGAATATATGAAGAACTCAAAACCAAAAACAGATCCTCCCAAATTTAAAGACCCCAAAAATGGGTATCTGAAATGAACAAACACTTCTTAGATGAAGAAATACAACTGGCCAATAGATACATGAAAAAATGTTCTACATCACTGACCATTCGAGAAATCTCACTCCAGAAAGAATGGCTACCATCAAGAAATCAACCAGTAACAAATGCTAGATGCACTGTGGGGAAAAAGGGACCCTTCTTCATTGTTGGTGGGAATGTAGACTGGAACAAACACTATGGAAATCAGTATGGAGTTTCCTAAAAAAACTAAAACTACTAATTTCATTTGACCCAGCTATTCCCCTTCTAAGTTATCTTCCCAAAAGAGTTAAAGACATCATACCACAGTGGTGTATGCATACCTATGTTTACAGCAGCACAATTCAAAATGCCTAAATCTTGGAAACAGCCCTATATATCTATCAACAGATGAATGGATAAAGAAAATGTATTTATACACAATGGAGCACTACTCTGTCATAAAGAAGGATAAACTTGAGTCAATTGTAGAAAAATGGATATACCCTGAGACAATAAAGTAAATCAGACACATGAGCAATATCACAAGGTTTCTCTTATATGAGAAACCCAATAAATAAGGTGCAAAATAAAAGACAAAAGAGAATAGTTATTGTAATCCAGCATAGACAATGTATCTAAAAGTGTACTTTGACTTAGTATAATTGTTCTATATGTTTTCTTTATCTTTTTGCCTGTTAATCCATATGTATAATTTTATAAGGACTTGGAAAATCTGATACTGGCAAAAATTATTTTTAAAAAAGGGGGACCAAAGGGGAATAAAAAAGAATTGAAATGTGTTATATACACATACCAATTTCTCACAGTGAAAGTAATCATTATGTACTGCAAACATGTACTCATAAAAATTTTTAAATATTTCAGGTTATATTTAACTATGGACATAAAATAACATCTTCCAACACAGACAAAAACTCAAGAATAAATTATTACTATGTAATGAAAACAGAATATTAACAGAAAAGAAAAGAAAGTCTTTTTGTGGGCACCCAAATAATTCCTCCTCTGTATGCAGTGACACAAAAGCATTTTTAGCTTTCAGGTTCTGACAAATCCTGTTGTAACAACAACTGCCTCCCTTCCCCGCCTCTCCTTTCTTAATTTTCCCACTGCTCAAAAAATGAGATGGAGAACCTGGTATTTATCTTCTAGCACCATCAGCATTTTTCACCTCTCTGATTTCTATGTGGCTCTTTATTTGCAATTTTCAAGTTAACTTGTTGCAGCTTCATAGAAACAATCAGACTCTCAGAAACAAGCCTCACATGTGGTTTCTCTTCCTGGGATCTAAATGAGACTACAATAATTTGAAGATAACTGACAGAGAGAAGTTAAGACCGTGCAGGCTACCAACAAAAGGTAAGAAAAATGAGAAGCTTCTAGAATGTTCAGAGACCTAAATACTGATCTTCAGGTACTGTTTAGTTGGAATTAAAGATTGTAAATATGTTATTAAATACTATTTTTGATAGAAATAAATCCTCTCTGGAAAATTGGATTTACATTTTAATGAAATTTACTGCAAAATTTCTTTGGTCAAATAGTTCATAAATTCAACATTCTCAGGTCTGTCCTGTGTACACTGTGTTCTGGAATTGCAAGTTTGTGCACACCACCCCTTTTTGGGTATTGTCATCGTATTTCTCTACCAAAGCCACTGCTATTGCAACCACTGAAACACAATACGTACGCCTTTATTCTCTATGACATCAAAATTTGAGAGAAGAGGCTACAAACTGTATTGTGTTTGTGGCTGGAGTGGAAAAAAAGTGTCAGAGGCACAATGATAGCATATTTATATAAAAGTCAGAAATAGTGACCTTCATTTTTGGGAACAAATTATTTCTATGTAAGTTCTCTATGCAGAAAAAAGCACTTTAAGTCCAATCTTCAACACTAACAAGTGCTATGCTAACCAGATGTAAAGTTGTACTATTTACTATTGTTTTGCCTGTCTGTAATTTATCTCTGCCAGTACTTGTTAATTACAATGAACAAGATGTCTACGGGTCTGAATGACAATGAAATTTATAAGAAGTACTGATTAATAAGAAAAGGGTTATAATTATTAAGTGGAACACAGACTGATAACATAAGGTTATTCAACCAAAGGAGAAAGAAAGGAGAGGGGAGGGGGGGGAGAGGGGGAGAGAGAGAGAGAGAGAGAGGGAAAAGCAAGTGAGCAAACAGATCATAGGGGGTATTATCAGCAAGCTCACTGCTTTAGAATCATAGGCTGCACATCGTTTGGGAGGCAGTAATTTAGCAATCTGGCTAGAGTCTGAAATGCTAAAATCAGTTAAACTTGAAAACAGTTATTATAGAACTGTAAATATGTTCTTAAATGTAAGAAACTTTAATTTTTGTTCTACTTCGGTCTCATAATAAATTTGGAAAACAGAAATGGTTTGACAACAAGGAGATCCTAAGCACACTGATGTTTGCAGATAAGTCTGACACTTGAGAACAAATCTCTGGCAAATCCTCCTGTATAACTGTAGAATTTACATTTCAAGACTATGGACAAAAATAGAAGCTACGGACACTATGGAAAAGGAGTGGGTGAAACAGTTCATGATGCATTTAGCTCCCCAGTGCAGCATTTTCTCCACTTCCCATGGGAAACACACAAGGGGAAGTTTGCAGTAGGAAGTATGGCAGTAAAGGAATGAATGGAGGAGATGTAGGATGAAGTGGGAAGAGATAAGAAAGACCTGGGCACTGCAGAACACAGGGTAGGTTATCAGAATGTCCTAATATGATAAAATTACAATGCCCAAGATGATAGCTGAGGTTTCTTTCAGCTCCAAGATTCTAAGAAAATAAATCAGTCTAAGGAAGAAGAGAAAAAAGAACAAGTTTCAAATGTCTTTAAATATCAATGGTCTTAAGATACAAAGTAAATTTAAAAATACCAATGATGGCAGTTACAAACCACTGAGTACTTTCTGTGGTTCAGTTATTGTTCTAAGCCCTTAAAATGGATCAATTTATCTAACCCTATGGCATAGGTACTAAGATCCTCATTTTCCAGAAGAGAATTCTGAAAGCCTGGAGAAATTACACAAAGCCAAGAACCAGCCAGACTGATTGGATCAAGAGCCCATCCTACATTTGCAAAATACATACGAATCTAACAGAATCACTCCGGTATATCATTTGAAATTAATTCATCTAGACAAAAGAAGCTAGTCTCGCAGTATGTCAGAAATCATCATATTTTTTCTCAAAGAAAGAAGTAAGTACTGCCAGATGGAATAATAGATGATGGTGCAACAAGAATAGGAAGATGGAAATAGGAAGCCCTTTTGTTTTTTAAAATACTGCCAGCCACAAAGTTTGTACTATCTTTTTCCTACTTCTATATTTAAAAAAAAACAGTTAACTCATTTTGGTACTTTTCCACATACAACTAATGATGCATCTATTTCTGGTATTTTGCGATTTGCCATCAGTGCTTCTGAACTGTTCAAACACCTGCTTTTGTAGTCAAATGCTACATATGGGTCAAGGAATGATTCTGATCTCAATTAGAAAGGATTGCTCACATTCTCATAGCAAAAAACAGTGAGTGGGCTCAACTGTTCCTGTTTCACCAGGTACCTAAAGTGAAACAAGTGTTAACCTAGGTAAGGACTATACAACTGGATATGAACTAGAAATGGTGGGGGAAAATAAATCAAGCCAGTAACTGATTTCCTTCCACTTGTCTCCTTTCTCTTTGAACAATCCACTGGGTCACATGCCTGGCACCTGGTAGCTACTGAATAAAAATGTGTTTTTCAGACCATTTCTTGAATACTTACAACTTGTTTAGTAATATTTATAAATTACTCTGAAGTACATTTAATTTTAACCTATAAAGCACTTTCATTAAAAATAATGTCATTTAAAAAAATCTACAATGCAAATAAAATATTCTACTACATTCTGCAGCTGGAATTTGAAGTATCTTTACATTTTCAGCATATTTTGTCCACAAAGTGGACAACTCCTTTCTTTATGCCATAAAGCAGCCCCCTTGCACAACTACTTGGAGGAATGTCAGTCTCCGAGGCCTGCTGTGACCTTTTCTCCTGGGCTGCAGCATCCTCATCTGCTGTGTGTGTGAGCACACATGTGCGGGCACAGCAGGAGGGCTATTCAGATATGTTCTGGCTTCTACTCTAAGGATAAACCTTTTTGTTTACTTGTTCTCTCTTCCCTTTAATACTGACTTTGTCTTCTTTCCCTAGCTTTTGACTCTACTGCACAGAAATTAGCTACAATTTGAACTGAGCACTAACACAGTTAAAAATCAAGATCTTCCAGGAGGACAGAGATTAAGAGTAACATCATGGCCTCCCTGGGTTTGCAGTTCCTTGCTTTCATCCTGGCCATATGTGGGGTCTCTGGAGTGCTCACGGCCACTCTGCTGCCTAACTGGAAAGTGAATGTGCATGTGGGCTCCAACGTCTTGACAGTCATTATACAACTTCATGGGTTGTGGATGGACTGCACGTGGTACAGCACTGGGATGTTCAGCTGCATGCTGAAAAACTCAATCCTATCCCTCCCCATCCATGTGCAGGCTGCCAGGGCCACCATGGTACTGGCGTGTGTTCTGTCTGTCTTGGGGATCTGCATTTCCATAGTAGGAATGAAATGCACTCACTTAGGAGGGGATCAAGAAACCAAGAGTCAGGCTTCCTTTGCTGGAGGAGTCTGCTTCATGTCCTCAGGGATCTCTGGCTTAATACCCACAGTGTGGTACACAAAGGAGATCGTCGTGACATTTCTGGATCCGACAGCTTCAGAAAGCAACAAATATGAGCCTGGAGGAGCTGTTTATATAGGATTCATTTCAGCAATGCTGCTGTTTATCTCTGGCATTCTTTTCTACATTTCCTACACCAAAAAGAATCCAGAAGCTGGGCTGTCCCTTCCCAAGCAGGAGCAGCCCTCTACTGCTCAGTTAAAAAACAGTTCTGCATACAACCTGAAGGATTATGTGTAAATAGGTACATAATGCACATGCAATGAAGCTTCTGGCCAACTGCTGGGACTTTATTTTAGATACAAGTATCAGACTCATGCTTGACTTCCTCCACCAAGAGTGCAAAATACTTTAAAAACTACTAAGTAGTTTAAAATAGTAACAATCACATACAATTACATATTTTAAGATTTATTTTTCCATGATTGCTTTCATGTTTTACTTAGAAGTTTATAACTGGAAGAGGTTCTCACTACATTAGTAAGACAATTAGCTGATAGCATTTTTTTCCTTTTTAAAATAACTTGATACATTTTCTAAATTGGATTTTGTAAAAGAACTTAATTGCCAAGTATAAAAAATACCTTGGTCGTGGTGTTCACCAAGAATGTTACCTAGGTTTACTATCTGGTAGGCAACACCTAAAGAAGCTGCTTGTTTCAAACCACAAGAAATGAAGGTGATGCTGGGAACAGAAGAATGGTCCACTCCATTCAGGTGTTGCCCAAACCATCCATCCCAAGTCCCAACCACCACTCTCACTTTCAAATTATAAAGGTATATACAGGCATGTATAGGAGCCAACATTAAAAAGTAAGATTAGGCAGAATGAAAAAAACTATAAATGTTGCAAAAGAATAGAAAAGCCAACCAAAACACAAACTAAAATCTCTAGGACTTTTAAAGCATTAAGTACAAGCCAAGTGATAAGAATACATGTTTGTTTTAAAATGGCCAAGAACTCAACTCTAGCTTCCAGCAAAACAATTCTCCAGATTCAGTTTATTTCTCCTGTAACAGTTTGGATTTATTATTGTCCCACTTAATCTATCATAATATTATTCAAATTACTATTTGAATGATAAAAGTTATTATAAATTGTCAATTGATCTTCTTAAATTTGATTCAAGTCAACAAAAATATTGTGATCTTATAAATAAGTAGCATCAATTAGTTAATCGATGTGTAAGGATATTTAAAGTATAAAGAATGCATTTAAAATACAGGTTAAAAGAATTTGATAGGTATTGAAACATCTTAATATTAGTTTATGATACATAATTCAAATATTATCTCATGATATGTATCAATATTTTAAGAAAATAAAAACTGGATTTTTTTATAAGGACAAAAAAATTGCATACTTGTTTCTAATTATTTGTTAATTTATGCTTAGGAATTGTTTATAATACAATGGCAAAAGGAAAAATGTACGTTAATAACTCAAGAAGTAGGAAGATATTGTAAATAATTTTCAGTTGTGCATACAAAAATAAATACTAAAATATTTGACTTACATCTATTTTACTTGGTAGATCATCATTTTCCCCTGCATCAATATCACTAGCTATTAAGGGGATAGCAAAAATGAAAAGGTACTATTTCATATAAGAACTAAGAAGGAAATCATTTTAACAGAAGTTTAAGTGATTGTTAAAAGTACGTATTCCTTTTGAGTGGTCAAAATATTATTTCCCAAACAAAAGAAAATGTCACATTGAAAAGAATTCTGATATATTATTTTCATGCAAATTAAATTGCTAGGACTGCTTTGACACCTCTATGTTCTCTCACAGTGCTTAACATGTCTATTTATATGCAATCTATGCAGCCTAGAGTCCTACACTGTACTAAAAGTTCACCTTATGCATTTTATGTAACACTACACGTCAAAAAAAAAAAGACAGTTTTAATTACCTCGAGAATATTTTCTTCTTAACTAGACAGAGGAATGTTTCAAACTCAGCAAAGCAGCCACTTTCTATAAAAATCAAGGCCCAATTCTATGTGGACTGAAAAGAGCGATGATGAAATAAATGGTGTGCAGCCCCTCCATCCCCACCTGTGCTGCATTCACTCCTCCACCCACAATCCTCTTGCTTTAGCCCAGCTCCCATTCATCCTTTTTTTTTTTTGACCTTTTTACCCATTAAGTTTATTGGTACATTTTCGGTATAAAATACAGTTACATTCATCATTGGGATCTTGTACCTTTACATGAGTCTCTTGGTTCTTATTTTTTTCCCCTTCCCTTGCCCTCCCTTCACCCCCTCCACCCTTCCCTATTTGCAAAGTCTTTG